TATTACTATTACTGTTACTATTACTATTAAAATTACTATTAAAATTACTATTACTACTACTACTACTACTACTACTACTACTACTACTACTGCTACTGCTACAGCTATTACTACTACTACTACTAATAATAATAATAATAATACAATGACCACTGCTGCTGTTGCTACTACATGCTACTACTGATACTACTACGACTACGCTAAATTACTCTGACTTTTGATGTCATTGCTGCTACTACTACTACTACGACGACGACGACGACTACTACTACTACTTTTACTACTACTCCTACTACTACTACTACTACTACTACTACTACTACGACTACTACTACTACTACTACTACTACTACTACTATTACTACTACTACTACTACTACTACTACTACTACTACTACTACCACTACTTCTACTACTACTACTACTCCTACTACTACTACTACTACTACTACTACTACTACTACTACTACTACGACTACTACTACTACTACTACTACTACTACTACTATTACTACTACTACTACTACTACTACTACTACTACCACTACTTCTACTACTACTACTACTACGACTAATACTACTAATACTACTGATACTACTGATACTACTGATACTATTTTTTGTATTGTTTTTGCAACTCGACATGCGCTGCTCAGTTCTACTACGTTGTCACCAGTACATAGATAGTTCCCTTGTGTGAGCGACTGTATTTTTTTTATACAAAACAACACACTTAATCTCATTAACAATTTTGATTTCACCAGGTTTCACCAGGTTTCACCAGGTTTCACCAGGTTTCACCAGGTTTCACCAGGTTTCACCAGGTTTCACCAGGTTTCACCAGGTTTAGGTTTTGGCATGAAAAACACTATAAAAACAACAGCAAAAACACTTATTATTTTGCAAAACACGGCCTCAAAACACTTATTTTGATTCAACAAAATGTAAACCGGGTGAAACCTGGTGAAACCTGGTGAAACCTGGTGAAACCTGGTGAAACCTGGTGAAACCTGGTGAAACTTGGTGAAACCCGGTGAAGCTTGACATAATCTCATGATCTGAACATCGCGGAACCGTTGGCTGTTGACACCATTATATTGCAGTGACAACCCAGATTTATGTTTGCAATTCTGCTGATGTGACACTTTAACACTGAAAAACTCTGGCTTACTTAAAAAAAAATAGCCCTGCCCCCCCCCCCTGCCCCTGCCACCCCGTCACCTACTACTACTACTACTACTACTACTACTACTACTACTACTACTACTACTACTTCTACTGCTACTACTACTACTACTACCACTACTACTACTACTATTACTACTACTACTACTACTACTACTACTACTACTACTACTACTACTACTAGTACTACCACCACTACTACTACTACTGCTGCTACTACTACTACTACTACCACTACTACTACTACTACTACTACTACTACTACTACTACTACTACTACTACCCCTACTACTACTACTGATACTACTACCGCTATTCGGAAGGAACGTTGAAAGCAACAAAACCAAACAGAGACAACATCCACATTACACATCACGAAAAACGCTTGAGTTTCCTCTGGGGGGTGGCCTATCCCCGTGGAAGAAACAAAACACCATCCAGACTTCCAGTTTGGTCGCACGGAACGTTTACAACGACAAAACAAACATGGACAACACACATTGGTTAAAAAAGGCGAGAGTTCCCCCTGGGGGGGCCTACCCCCATGGAAAAAAAAGCAGAATGTATCCAGACTTCCAGTTTGGTCGCACGGAACGTTTACAACGACAAAACAAGCATTGACAGCAGACAGCACACATTAGTTAGAAAAATGGCGAGAGTTTCCCCTGGGGGGGCCTACCCCCATGGAGAAAAAAAACATAATGTATCCAGACTTCCAGTTTGATCGCACGGAACGTTTACAACGACAAAACAAACATGGACAACACACATTGGTTAAAAAAGGCGAGAGTTTCCCCTGGGGGGGCCTACCCCCATGGAAAAACAAGATAAATGTATCCAGACTTCCAGGTTGGTCGCACTGAACGTTTACAACGACAAAACAAGCATTGACAGCAGACAGCACACATTAGTTAGAAAAATGGCAAGAGTATCCCCTGGGGGGGGCCTACAGACCTACCACCATCGAGAAAAATGATGCATCCAGACTTCCAGTTTGGTCGCAGTGAACGTTTGCAAACGACAATAGAAACATTGACAACACGCATCATTAGTTTTAAAAAAGGGCGAGAGTTACCCCGGGGGGGGCTACCTCCGTGGAAGAGACAAGTATTACTGCTACCGCTACTACTGCTACTGCTGCTGCTACCCCACCGACCCCGCCAGGGCACCGACCCCACACACCAGCCGGCCCGGGACCACCGCCACGCACCGGTCCCGGCCCCGGGACACCGACCCACGCACCGACCCCGGCCCCGGGACCACGCAACCCTAAACCCTAAACCCTAAACCCTAGACCTACTACTTATTCTTGCTGCTATTACTATTAATTACTACCGAATTACTACCATTCCTCCTCCTCCTCCTCCTACTACTACTACTACCACTACTTCTACTTCTACAGCTACTACTACAACTACTACTATTACTACTACTACTACTACTATTATTAATACTAGTACCATTACCACTACTATTAGTACTACAACAGACTACACAACCTAGGATTACGGCCTTGTTCAGGTGTCGCCGTCGCGGGAGCTGTCTTCAGAGCTGCACGAGGACGATGATGTCACGGGTTCATCACCCGGGATTACGGCCCGGGATATTTCGAAGTTTTTTCCGAGTCTCCTTTGTGTGAGATCCTACGGTCCTACGAGGCCGTGCTCCTCGAGTCCGAAAAAATCTGTAGGCCGAAGAATCTGTAAGGGCGGTTGACACGGGTTGGCGGTCGACGGCATACCATAATAGCTTAAAGGAGCAAGATCGTTCTTCGATTTCTACCTCCCCCTACTGCTACTACTACTACTACTACTATTACTACTACTACTACTACTACTACTACTACTACTACTACTACTACTACTACTACTACTACTATTACTATTACTATTATTATTACTATTACTATTACTATTACTAATACTAATTACTATTACTATTACCATTACTATTACTATTACTATTACTATTACTATTACTATTACTATTACTATTACTATTACTATTACTATTACTATTACTATTACTATTACTATTTCTATTACTATTACTATTACTATTACTATTACTATTACTATTACTATTACTATTACTATTACTATTACTATTACTATTACTATTACTATTACTATTAGTATTATTATTATTACTATTGCTATTACTATTATTATTATTATTACTATTACTTTTACTATTACTATTACTATTCCTGGTACTATTACTATTACTATTACTATTACTATTACTAATTACTATTACTATTACCATTACTATTACTATTACTATTACTATTACTATTACTATTACTATTACTATTACTATTACTATTACTATTACTATTACTATTACTATTACTATTACTATTACTATACTATTACTATTACTACTACTACTACTACTACTACTACTACTACTACTACTACTACTACTCCTACTACTACTACTACTACTACTACTACTACTACTACTACTACTACTACTACTACTACTACTACTATTATACTATCTACTAATACTATTACTACTACTACTACTACTACTACTACTACTACTACTACTACTACTACTACTACTACTACTACTACTACTACTACTACTACTACTACTACTACTACTACTACTACTACTACTACTACTACTACTACTATTACGACTACTACTACTACTACTACTACTACTACTACTACTACTACTACTACTACTACTACTACTACTACTACTACTACTACGTGCTACTTCGCAGGAGCAGCTTTCGGATCAACCCGGGCCAGACGGCGACGATGTTGCCCGGTCGGATATGTCGGATTCAGAACTCACCTTATCTGTGCTCGAAGAGTCCGAAGAAGGTGAAGAAGAGGAGCAAGAAACAGATGTCGAAATCCAACCGGCGGCAGAGCCGGCAGAGCCCCGTGATGCTGGTGGGGTCGGAAGAACGATCGAGAGTTTGTTTCCTGGGAGGCACAGCAAGACCAAGCGAGATGCCATCCTGCCACTGCTACCATTCGTGCGGGCGGAACTGCAAATGTCCACTTTGGTATATCCTGACGTTTTGGACAAGCCTGCGCGCCGTTCGTTCATTACGGCTGGTTTAGTGCAAGCCGTGCAACATGATGCTGCGTTGTGTTGCTGGGGGCCGGAGCCCAAAGCTTACCGGCACCGACGCGGAGTCGAAGATGCCATTTCCAATCTGTATTGGCCTAGTGTGTGCCGGGAGGCTTGAAGCGTGATGCAAGGCAAGGGCAGCTGCCATCTGAGAAAGCATCTTCTCCCTGTGTGTGCAAAACAAGAGTGAGTGCTACATTGCTATGTACTACTTGATCATGATCGTGTGGCAGGGTCGGCCAGGCTCAACAATGTGATTCTTCAGTGTAAGCAGCCAGCCAGCTGGCCAGCAGCATGCGGAGTGGTTGTGAGTCGTGGCGCATGTCCGAAGAGTCAAGAATCACCAGTTGCTGTAGGCCGTAGGTCGTAGGTCTGCGTTTGCATCTTGGTCTGCTGAGCTGTTGATGTGACATGAGCGACGCATGCTTCCGGTCTTTGTCCCTTTCGACTCCAGGACTCTAGGGCTCGACGTCCCTGAGGGACGTCTGACCGTTGCGGTTGCAGGCAGCAGCTTTGCGGTTTTGTAGATGAATGTAAGTCACAGTCACAGTTCGTCCCTTGGGCGTTGGCCGTACACCAACTGTTTTTGTAATGGTTTGCTCAGCCGTTCTCTCACATTTGTTTCATCATGTTGGTGTTACCGTAGCCGTAAACGCCGTAAACCGTAGAACCAAGTTCTGTTGTAGCGTAGTGTTGCACTTGTAGTCTCAGTCATGGGGCGGCGTCGAAAAGTGCCTGCTGAGCCGGCTGATGTAGCCGGTGCTGGAGTTGGAGATGAGGACGAGGAGGGAGCCGAGGATCCAGCCGATGCATGCGCTTCCGAGCCACCCAAGCCTGAGTCTGAGCCGCCTGATCCCAAGTCGAAGGCAAAGCGCAGACGGAAGAAGTCGCCAAAGGCGATGTCTTCTGAACCGGTTTCCGAGTCTGCGGCTGCGGCCGTTCCTGTCCGTGCTCCGAAGATCAGAGCGAAGAAGTTGGTGCAGGCGGCACCTTCTGAGCTGGCTCCTTCAGAGCTCGATGGAGAGCTCGATGCAGAGCTCGGTGTGGCACGTGCAGTGCCAGCAGCTGACACAGACTCGGACGAGATGCCGCTTGATCGCTTTGCTGTCATGATAGCAGGCCAACCCAAAGCGGCAGAGCCAAAGGCAACGGGTAAGAGCAAGGCCCGCGCCCGGAGCAGCAGGCCGAAAGGACGTGCCAAGGCCAAGGCCAAGGCGGCCCATGAGCCAAATCCATGGGAGCTTCCTCCGGATCCAGGTCAATTGCGGATTGCGCAGAATATGACGCTGGCCGAGATGAAGGATGAGTCTGCTGACAACGAGGACGAGGTTGTTGGTAAGGGGGCAGCTGAGAGTTCGGCTGTTAGCGAAGAGGCTTCAGATCATGATGCCCAGTCGTCCCGGTCATCTCGGAGCCCAGCCCGGAGTCACCGGAGCGGGACTGGAAGTGGAAGTGGTTCGCAGCTGTCGCCGGAGGCAGCAGCGGCTGCGGGGCAGCACTTCTGGCACTGTGTGCAGTCAGACGATGAGGGGAAGGACAGCCAAACGGAGGCTCATGTGGACATCGCTGTTGTACGAGGCCCAGGCCCAGATCAAGTCCGCAGCAGGTGTGATCTTTTTCAGTTCCCTCGTCGCCACATCGAGCGGCTGCACAAGCACTTCGGCGCGGAGTCCATAGAGCGGTTGAACCAGAACATGTCCTCCATGAAACTCATGTCGCTGTATTCTGGACTGGGTGGTGCGGAATCAGCGACCAGTCTTTTGAGACAGGCTCTCACGAGTCACGTCGCGGAGCATGCCATGCCGATACTGCCTGCGAAAGGCAGTCCGTGCACATTGGCGTGCGACTCCAACACAAACTGCAAGAAAGTTTTGAAAGCGCTGCCAGCAGCTTGGCAGCAAAAACTCGGCCGGAACTATTGTTGAAACTCCACACATGCAGCGTATATGATCTGATGCAATCCTGTGTAATGAAGACTCCTAGATCCCCGATCCCCTTCCGTCCGAGTTCATGCGAGGATCCGCCAAAGTTTCTCATTGGCAAGATGGAGGATTTCGTGAAGGCTGATGCCCTTCCAGCTCTCAAGCACACCATCGGCATGTTTCGAAACGAGTGCTCGAATCTCGTCCGAGCCGCAACGCAAGCAAAAAAGGCCGGGATGGTCATGGTGGGGGCTCGAAAGAAGCTTGGCCGCCTGTCGCAGAAGCTCGTTGCCATGCTCATCCAGCAGATCGAGTCGGAGAGCATGTTGAAGGCTGCCGTGATGGCAGAGTCATCCGATGTGGCCACTTGGTTGTGTCGTGTTGAACGTGTTGTGTACTGTGAACCGGAAGCATGTGGTTTTGGTTCGGTAGGTTTGGTCGGTTTGGTATGCCGGTGTGCGCGCTTTAGACATGAGTCACAAAAGTAATTTCGATTTTCCTGTCCGGCGACTCCAGTGACCTTTCCCGTGCAACTGACAACGTAAACTAAACCCTAAACCCAAAACTCTAAACCCTAAACCATGAAGTAGGCCCTGAACGCCCTAAGCCCGACAAGTGAGGTGAACCTGCGTGACCTTGCAAGCGGCCTGCTGGTGCTGGTCGCGGGCTCCACTTGCCGCGACTGGAGCGAGTTTGCGTGATTTGGGGTCGGGTCAGTCGGGTCCTGATTTTTTTCAGAGGTTGAGTCTGATCGGATCCAGCTTATGTGGCAAGGGTTGTCATGTGTTGGCAGATCAAACCCTCATCCCTTAGAGTAGCTTCTGGTTTGCTTAGAATTAGAATGTATCCTGCCTGCAGTGGACATCAGGACCTTAATTCGGATCTTAGGATCTCTTTCGTGTGTTCGGGTGTTGAGGCTCACTGTTGAGGTGTGCCAGAAGTTCTGACGGTTCGGCGCTGTTTCCAACTATTCAGAGACACTGCACACTGCTGCACGTAGTTCCCAAGAACTTGCCGACAGTTCCCGAGACTATTGCCATAGTTCCGAAGCCCCTGTGAGCAGTCACACATAACAAGCCACAGAGCATGCCAACTCATCCCAACGGTGCTGCCCGCATCGTTCGGTCTGTGAGGAGCAGCATGGGGTCGCGGAAGGGGTTCCTTGGCGACAGCGTTCTCGCGTTCGCCATACTGTTGGCGATTGTGAGATCGACACGCCCGGCTCTGTTCTTGCACGAGTGCACTGCAAGCTTCAAGTGGGCCATCTTCGCAAAGCTCCTCCCTGGGTATGACATCGCCCAGCACTACACCGAGCCCCTGGACTTTGGCTTCCCGGTGCGCCGGCATCGCTCCTACACGGCTTTGGTGCGCGCGTCGACCTTTCAGCTGGCGTTTCCGCTGTCAGAGATGCACAGACTGTTTATCTCGCCTGCTGTCGATTGTCGCGTCTTCCTCGCTGCGTCGAGAGCGGAGGCCATGTAGTTGGTGGGCAGCACATTAATGTTGCAGTCGTGACTTTGGGTTTCAGCAGCGTTGCGAGGCTTGTAAGGCAAGGCTAGGCTTAGTTCGTGGACGGTAGTGTTGCAGTCGTCAGTCCAGTCGGCAGTCGTGTTATGTCGTGACATTGTGTAACAACAACTACAGCCGTTGCGGAGTATGATGTTCCCGATTCCCGAGTCGGGAGGTGCAGCAGATGCGGTCGCTCATGGCCATGAATGCCTCTTGGCCCAAGATATCAAAGTTGCTGGATTCCAACAGGCGAAGTCGCACGGTGTACCGATTTCTATGTCACATCCCTTTGTGTAACCGTATCCTAGACTGACTGCATGACCTGTTTATCCATCTCGGTTGAAAGGCCCTCAGCAGTCGACAGTTGTAGCCATCCCATATTCCTCTTTCTGTTTGGTTTTTGTTGCGATTTGCGATTCTATTACTTGAGGCTCGGAACTCGGGTTCAGGGTTTCAGCGGTTTCGGCGTGCGGTTTGGAGTTGGGAACAAAATGCTGAACACGGTCTGATTCGAAGCCTGGGTCCTTGTGTTTTGTTTTGTTTTTTCTGAGGGTTGTCAAATTGGCAATTGAGGTTAGGGAGCTTACGATTTATGTCCATGGCGTTCGTATCAAGAATGCAGATAGCGAGAATGGGCACATCATCAGGGGAGGGCTGGAGTTGGTCCAAGTTGGGCCTTGGCCGTGTGGGGTTTTAAAGTGAACTTTGAAGTGGTTCTTTTAAGGTATAAGGCTATGTTGAGTGTCAGGTTCAAGATCGCCTGAGATTGAAGCTTTGACACTCAGAGATTGACACCTGAGACTCCTGAGGCTAGGATCCGTGTGTCTGTGTCCATGGATGTTGCCTGAAGTTATAGGATATGGCTGATAAGGATCCTCACGGTGCTGCGATGCGATGTACATTGGTCACTATTCGGGTGTTGCAGTGAAGCAATTGAAGTTAGGGCACGGAGCTTACGATTTACTTCCATGGCGTTTGTATTAAGAATGCTGATATCGAGAATTGGGCACGACGTCAGGGCTGGAGTTGGACCAAGTTGGGTTTGGGCTTCTGGGGCTGTAAAGTAAACTTCAAAGTGACTGTTTTACGGTATGGGGTCATGTTATGTTGATTGTAATATATGGCCGACAAGCATCCTGACGGTGTTGCGATCTGATGTACGTTAGTCATTATTCGGGGTGAGGCAGTGATGCATTGAGGTAAGGTGCCCGGCTTTATTTTGTATTTGACAGTGACCCTAACCCAAACTCCAGGGCCCCTTTATCTGACTTTCAATAGGGCCCGGTCGGGCTGAGCTTCTGTGAGGGATTACGGCCAATTACGGGGAGGCTTAATCAGCTGAAGCTCTACTTCATTCCGTCGGTAGTTCCGAACATAGTCGCTATCATCGCTAGCCAAACTAGCCAAGCCAGTACAGCACATAGGCAATGTGCCGCATTGACATGAAGTAGGTTTTATATCAGCATTGTGCTGAGTGTAGATTGGATAAGGCGCAATTGGAACTTGTTTGGCATTTGACAACCACCTAATCTAATGAATACCTATCGCAATCATCCGTGCTTGCGTTGCTTGCGTTGGCGCTTTGAAGCGATGACATGACATCCCTTGAATCCTTTGCCGGGCCTGCGGTTTAGGCTTCTGTCGGAGGGCAATATTGTTTGAGGTTTCAGAAAGTTTCGGACACGAATCACGAGTCATAAACAGGAAGGCCCGAAATCAATTTTAGAATCCAGTGATTCCAGCTCCGTGTGCCGTGTACCTGAAGTTGTAAACTGTTGAAATTAGAGGCCTCATCGAGTCTCCCAAAGCTAGAAAGTTGCACAATGAGTGAACACTGTCATTGTATTCATTGTTGTCCGTTCGCAGAGATGATGATGCAACCACAAGACATAGGCCAGTGGAAGGAAGCAGTGGAAGCCGTGGAAGCAATGATCCGAGGCGACGAAGTCCAAAGACAGCAGCTTCGAGGACCTTCTCCCTGTCAATGCCGGTGTCAATCTGGCGCAGGCAGTGCAGCTGCCTGCGATCAAGAACATGGTGTCTCGCAACGAGGTAGCCATAAATTTGGATCAGAACTTGAGCGCTGGATTTCGTCAGTTCGGGAAATTCGTCCCGACGGTCTTGGCCTCCATTTCGTGGATGTGGGCGATGGTGGAAGCAAGGCCGTACACATGCAAGGACACAATGCTCAGAGTCTTCAGACTTCAGATGCTTTGGATGTTTGGAACTTGGAACTTTGGATAGCTGTTGGATGCTCTGCTCGCTCAGTCTAGAAAAAAACATAAACATATAAACCCTATAGCCTATAGCCTACAAGCGCCTACGGCCTACAGTCGTTCATGGTCTATAGACCTAGATTTGATTTGTATACATGAGGAATGGAAGCCAGCACCAGACCTATCTGCGGACCTGCTGTGACTTTATTAGTACCTTAACCGCCTGAACCGTCTATAAATCCACAGTCACATCTAGATATGTGTGTGTGTGTGTGTTTTTTCCTAGCGATAAAGAGGAGTTGCTGGAGATACAGGGCATTCCCATGTTCGATGACAGCTTGCGTGCAGCAGGGCAGAGGACGCAAGTGTTGAACATGGACAACATCGGGGTGTCACCGGCTGCACAAAAGCACATGGCCGGTAATTCCTTCCACCAGGCCTGCGTGACTGCTTTCCTGGCTTTCACATTAGCCTCCTTGACTCCGAAGCCGATCTCTGCAGATCATTGCTCTGCAGAGGAAGAGAAGAGATGCGTCGCACTCATGCAGAGAGGCGAAGACCTCGTGCCTGTGATTGCCGAGTTGGGTCGCGCTCCGAGCCATGACGATTCTCGGGAGGAGCAGGACCAGGACTCCGACCATTGTGGAGAAGGCTGTACAGACGATGACGAGGATGGGATTTAGCCCGGTGAGCCTTTTAAGCCTTTTCCAGTTCCTCCTCGTCACCCACTGTTTTCAAAACCTGCATCATCACATCGTCATTCCAGTAGCCCTGGTACATGTGTGCAAGTTAGACCGTGTGGCAGTGGGTGTGGAGGAGCCAGATGGATTTTGCTAAGCTTCACATGCGGTTGAAGTTGAAGTTCAGGCTTGAATGAAGCCACGTGAAATATGTCCAGCCGCGGACGACTGAAAGAAGTGCATGGCCGGGAAAGCCTAGAACTGTTCTGAGAGTGAGCAGCAGTGGCAGGCACCAGACATCGGTCATTTGCATTCTGCAGTATTCTTGCCATTCTTACTGATGATATCATAGCGTTGCATTCGTTGTCGATGGTGCAGATGTTACATTTCCGCGTCGCATTGCACGTAGTTGAAGTGAAGTTGTGATCCATTCATTAACAATTTGGGACAGGATGACAGGGTTCACAGTCAGAGCCGCTGATTCTCAGAGTCTCAGAGTGCTCTTCAGCTCTCGCTCTTGGAGTGAACACACCATTCACTGCCACTCACCACTGAGCCGTGCAGTCTCAAAGACTTCGAACCCAGGTAGGCCAGGCCAATCAGGATTCGGGTGCACGTGTGCGGCGATGTCGGACAATCTGACAACCGCCGAGGTGGACAAGCAGCTTCCCAGTGAGAAAGGTCAGTGTCTGAATCTGAATCTGAACCCTGTGCGGTCTCCACGCAAAGCGTTGGAGTGCTTGGCTTGTGGTGTTTCGCTTGCAGACACTTCTGCGCGGTCCCAGCCAGCATCCTCCAGCGGTAGAAGCACCCAGTATGCAGGACATTGTGACTCGTGCAGCCTCTCGCTCCGGAACATTTTGCGTGCCTCGAAAGCCTCGACTGCGGATGATCTGGAAGGACTTGATGAAGCGGACGCCGGGACGGGTGGCTCAGGCTCAGGCTCCAAATCCAAAGCCAAGGCCAAGGCCAAGGCGTCAGCAGCTTTCGAAGGCTGCCCTGGGGCTCTGGGAATCGGAATTGGGAAAACCCGGTACTTGGGATCGGAGTTGCTTTGGAATGCTTCGGAGCATGTCACATGTGACATGTGGTGTTGAACACTGATTCATGATCAGCCGTTCGCGTGTAGGCGAAGACGATGCCGTGTCGACGGAGATGTTCCTCAGGAAGTTATCCCAGGAGGATCCCGAGCGCTATCGCGTCGTCTTCAAGAAGTTCCAAGATCAGACGAAGGGTGAGACCAACAAAGGAGGACGTGGCAACAAGCGGCAAAACTTCAATGTACGTGCTGCTGCAGCGACAATCAGCACGCAGACTTCCGAACGTACGAAGAGGAAGCGCTTGACAGGGACCGAGCATGCGATGGACAAGGCCAAGTACATTCAGCATTTTACAACCGCAGTGCCAGTTGGCGACAGATTGAACGAGGAGGAGGCACAGCTGGCATGGCTGCGTGACATCAACCCGAATAACACGGTCACTGAGAAGGTCCGGTCCAAGGGGGGGCCGGGCAGAGGCTTTGACATTCAGGGATTGTTGAGAGTTGGGAGTCGGAGCAATGAAAGGAGTGTTATTCAGACGCTGGGAAACATAGTCGGTTTGGTTTCGCAATGCGTGGTAACTCATAATTTAAATCAGGCCATCCGTTGGCAGTTGGATCGATTCACTTCCCGGTCCCTTCTGTATGGATGTACCATGTGCTTGTTGTGTTTTCTGTTTGTCTCCTCGGCCTCGACCCTTGCATTGTATGGGAATCCTTTGGTGTTCGGCGATGCTGCAGGAGAAGTTCGCCGTCTTCAATCCGAAGACTGGACTTCTTGAGGAGCGGGACCACGTGTGGGTCAACGTTGGATTCGAGCGTGCCAAGGAGGTTCACCGTCCTATTAAGTTATAAAAAGAAACAGGGTTACCGAGGTTTAGGGTACTTGCTTGGGGGGGTTACCGGGGGGTTGCCTTCACTTCATGTCTGGGGATCCCATAAGGAAAAGTGAATTGGACTAAGTGGACGACATGACGTATGTTGGGTTGGGGGCTGTTGATTTTGTGTTCTGTGGTGTGCTAACACAAAGAACTTCACCAACCGATCCGAACGGCCCCAGAATAGGCAAGGTTGGATGGTGTGGACGGTGTGGAGTTCAATCTCTTCAGTTGAATCGGACTTGTATGTTACTGCGCATAATACAGTGACAGGCTTATTCGTGTCTGTGATGATGCCGTGATACCCGGATGCCCAGACTGCAATCACTTGACGGAAGTGAATGCTAATCATTGCGCCGGTAGGGTCGTAGACAGTGCTATACGGCCGCATCAAATTCAATTTGTCGAGCCTCAACCGCAGCAACCGCTTCAATGATGATTGCGGTTTCGCATCAGGTGTTTGCCGACGACAAGCGATCCTTGCAGAAAGTTGACAAGGTGACGAACGCAGCTCAAGCCGAAGCCATCCTCAACAACATGGCCTCTTTCATCAGCTTTTCCGCTGATTCTGAGTTCATCCAGGCCGGTCGCCCTGAAGTTCAGGTCTAGGTTTAGGCTGGCATGAGTGTGAGTGTGAATTTCGGCGAGTCAGCTGACCTCCTGGCACAGTTGGGGTGTTGGCGGGTTAGAGCGAGTCTGAGGCCCGCAACTTCTTGGAGGCTCCACAATCAGATGAAGCAGAGATTATTGGAGTGGCCTCCATCACGGCCCGCGGTGTCGGGGCTGGCAAGGCGAATAAGAAGAGCAAAGGCGGCGGTGGCGGTGGCACTGGTGGCAATACTAAGAATAAGCCCAAGAAGGAACCGAAATCCTTCGATCCGAACGCTTACAGGGTGAAAATCGCTACCAAGCTCTTTGCCCACTTGAAGTTCATCCAAGCTGCGCTTATCGATGAGGTCAACAAGAGCGAGGAGTTCTTGCGAACTCACGAGTCCATGGTAGACAAGGCGAAATCCTTGAGGACGAGAGGCATCAGCTCCGACCGCCTCTCGGATCCCGCTTTGGAGCTTGGTGATGACCTCGCGTCCTACAGGCTTATGTTTGTCATTCTGAACCGCTATGACATCCTGAAGCTCATGGCGCAGGGCTCAGACAAGAACCCGGGGGTGGCAGTCGGTGTGCCGAAATCTGAGATCGAGGCTTGGTGTGGGAGGGTGCAGTGGAACACGGGCGCAAGCTTTCCTTGCTATGTGATACTCTACAGTAGCCTTAAACCATACATGGCCGAGTAGGAGGTATTGCAAGTTCACTGCTTTCTCATGTTTACAATGTATGTTATGATGTTGCTTTCTTCTGGTTCAAGGTTATAGGGGCTACAGCTAGGGCCGTTAGGGGTGCCGTTTTTTTCTTCTCCTCCTGTGTCCGCGACATGGTTATGTAGGTGTTGTTCTGGTTTGGGATGCGGTTTGAGTCTTCGTAGCCTGGGGCCTGGGGTTTGGATTTTTGGATTGCTGTCGAATCTGGTTTTGTTTGTTTCTGCACGGTGCAGGTGAAATACACAACTCGGATACCTGGGAGGCTCGGTTGGAAGTCCGAACATCATATGAAACGCCTGTCATTCCTTGGAAGGTGTCAGGGTTCAGTGTCAGAGGGCTCACTGTATCAACGTCGCTGTAAAACTAAATGAACCCATTGTTCATTGTTCCATTACACAAAAACCAGATAACAACCCTAAACCCCTAACCGCCCTAACCTTCAAACCCACGGCCCACGTCCCAAGTCATATGTAAATCCTGAACTCCTGAACCTTCTTCCCTATACAACATGGGAGGAGCTGGAGACAGAAGTGGAGCGTCTAACCATGTTGGATCCGTACCTCGCAGAGCACGCGCCCAAGAATGCGCCCTACCTGGCCATTTGCGACCCCGAGGCCTTGTACCCCGCAACCCTCAACACAAAGATCCAGATTGACAAGACACATGAAGAGACGTGTGACAAGGTGAAGCACATGAAGCTGAGCATCGCAGCGCTTCGAAAGGCAAGGGCGGACATGATCAGCATGACGGCGGCTCTGACCAAAGCCAAGAACAAGTTCGAAGAACAGCTGCAGAAAGCCGCCACTGGTTCCTCTGGCCACGGTGGTTTGCAAGGTCGTCCCAACCTGCGAAACCTGACCTCCGAGGATCCCGAGATCCTGAAGACGTTCAAGCCAGTTGCCTCAATTTCGATTTTTTCATCCGTGAGTGAGAACACTATTTCATTTCACACAAGCCTATAAACTTTATTTGGGAGCTAAATGTACGAAGTTTAGTAGACCGGGTATTACAGGTTTTCGGTAAATCGTATGTCCTGAAGCTTGAAACCCTATCTTGAACTCCCGAACCTGAAAAACTTGAGCTACCCTAAGGACTGAAGTCTGAGGCCCTCAACCTTCTTAGAGGAGTCGTGTTAAACCTTAGACACTGTATTTTAATTTTCAGCCCTAATTACGGTAATTACGGTTCAACGTCACACCCTCATTGGCATCGGTCTCAATCAACTCCAAACCTACAGCCCGCAGCATGGGGCTGGCTGAGGACAGCCAGCGGGAAGAGACCTCTCGAAGTGGTCAAGGACGTCAAAGACGACATGAGTGCTGGCGTCCCTTTCATTCTTCGCAAGGGCAGAAACACCATGTCTTCGCTTGTCAAGTCGAACGAGGCGAAACGCTTTTGGAACAACGTTCTGGAAAGCTTTCAGAAAAGCGTGAAGGATTCTCGCCAGGAGCGCCTCACGCAGCAGCCTTACCTTGTGTACCGGGTACAGGGAATTCAGCAAACAAGTGCAGTGCAAGCATGTGTGTTGAATCGCTTGTTTATCTCCTTGGCTGTACGATCAGGGGTGCCTTGCTGGCAACGGCACCCGGTGCCGAAGCAGATGGGCAGCCGGAGGAGGATCCGGATGCTGCCAAAGCGATTCAGGAGATCAAGGATGGCATGATGGAGTTCTTCCCGTGGAAGGACAAGATCTCTGAGAGGACCATCATGAATGCCCCCGCCTCCGCGGGCCGCTACTTTTCGTTTCGCGATGTCAAGACACATGTCTCT